TAACTAACGCTCGCCCTTCTTCTCTCCCCGCGTAGGTCGTACGGAGCGGCTCACGCACACGCGTTCCTCGAGCACGCTGCCCGTGCCGCGGCCCAGCAGCCACCCGCCGACTCCCACCCAGCTCGCTGGAACCTGCAGCAGCTTCGAGAGCGAAGACCGAGGCGACCTCATCAAGTTCTACAACTCGGTGAGCGAGGGTAGTGTGTGTGTGTGTGTGTGTGTGTGTGTGTGTGTGTGTGTGCGTGCGTGCGTGTGTGTGTGTGTGCGTGCGTGTGTGTGTGTGAGAGCGAGGACTGAGGCGACCTCATCAAGTTCTACAACTCGTGAGCGAAGAAGAGTGTGTGTGTGCATGTGCACGTGAGTGTGTATGTGTATGTGTATGTGTGTGTGTATGTGTATGTGTGTGTGTGTGTGTGTGTGCGTGTCTATGCGTGCATATAACTGTATAACATAACAGCTTGCATTCTACACGCTATATTGTCGACCGAACAATCGTGAATTTAAAATCAATATTTAAAAATCCCAGAAGAACATTCGTATCTTCTTTGCTCCCCTTCACGTTGTTCCTCTCGTTCCCGCAGGTGTTCGTCGAGAAGGTGACGTCGTTCGCGCTTCGCTTCTCCGGCCAGCACGAGAACGGCAGCCGCTCGCCGGCGATATCGCCGCTGCCAACGTCGCGCGCCGCCGCGCACTCGCCGCGCCGCCGCGTCTCCCTCCTGCACTCCGTCTACATCTCGCCGCTCAAGTCGCGTTCAGGGGGCGCCGCAGGGACGCCAATCAACTCGCCGACGAAGCCGATGCTGTACAGCTTTAGCCTGAGTCCGGCGAAGGTACGTGTCGCGCTGTCCGCATTGTTTGTGTCGTTGCCGTCGTCGTCGTCATCGGCGGCGCCTCAGGTGACGATTTCGCGGATTGTGGCGATTGTTATTTTAATCATAGTAATTAAAATAATATAATTTATATTAATTAAATATAATTTGTAATTATATTTTAAATTATAATAAAGCATTAAGTAAGTGTAATTAATTATATTAAGTATAACACAGTATAAATGAGTATTAATTAAGTCTAATAAACAAAATAATGAGTAATACATAAAAGTGCATAAAAATACATCAAAGTATAATTAAGTATTAAGTATAGTAAATAATAGTCAGTGAAAAAGTGAGGAAATTAAGTAAAAAGAAACGAGTGACTTATGAGACTCTAACGCGACGTCCGTCTCGCCCTTCCCTTCGCAGGACCTGCTAGCCATCAACTAGCCATCTGCTAGAAGCAGGTAGAGTAGCTACGACTGCTCTCCGTTCCTGCTTGTCTCCTTGTCTTGCCTCCTCTTCTCACCCTTCTTCGAAGCACTCGACGTAGAATAAACTAGGAGAGATGCGAAAATATATATATGTAAAAGTACAACTAAGTACAGTAAACGAAATTAGGAGAGATACGAAAATATATTTTGTAAAAGCATAACTAAGCATTAATTAAGTAATGCATAATAATAATAATAAATATAATAATAAATAACAGCAAAGTAAAAAAAAAAGTAAGTAAATTAAGTCGAAGAAATAGAGAAAAAAATAAAGTAAAAGAAAGTAAGTGACGGTAAGGCGCTAATTCGACACGTCACGCTCTCTTGTTCGCAGGACCTGCGAGCGATCAACCACATGATCAAGCAGGAGCAGGCGCGCAAGGTCTTCTCCAGCTCCGCCGGGAAGCGTCTCCGCCTCGACGACGATGGCGCCGACGGTGGCCCCACCAAGCGGCTCTGCGTCGGCGGAAACCCGATCGGCAACGGCTTCGCGCGCCGCCTGCAGGGCGTCGTCGCCGACCAGCAGGTGGCGATAGCGGCGACGCCGCCGTGACCTTGCGGAGGTCGCAGCAACGACCGGCGGGTTTAGGACGACTCCGGGTCTACGGTGCTGTGCGTACGCGATTCATGTAGGGGAGCGTGCGAGTGGTTTTTTTAAAGGCGCGTCGGCCGCGACGATTTGGACGGTTTTTAGGCTGATCTCTCCACTCGTCGCGTTGCCGTGGGGACAGGCGAGTGCGTATGGCCGCTTTCCGGTCTTAAATCTCGTCTTTGAAGACTCTTCATAAAGAATTATTAATAATACTTTTATAAAGAATTATTAGTAAGAAAGTCTCGTCGGTCTGTCGGTCGGTCGGTCGGTCGAGCGTTGTTGGTTCCGTGTTTTTTGTACGAGCGCGGCTCGCGAATCGGTCGCCAGATTCTTGCTATCCGCGAGGACGAGGGGTTCCCTTCTTAGATTTCGACCCGCGGCGTCTTTTAACTGGTTGCACTTCTCCTGGTGGACTTTGAAGGTCGCTGTTCTGACAGCTGTTGCCAGGGCAACGCCGTGTGTGCGAGGGAGATGATTGGCTGTTGATTCAAGAAGCCTGGAGCCCATTATCGGAAGCAAAATTGGTGTTGACGTTATTCTCACCGTTGACTTTTTCTCGGAGACCGGACTTCTATGCACAGCATATGGGAAACTCATATCGTGTTCTGTCAACGGTCTCCGATGTTAAGACGAATATTGTTTCTGTCAACGCATGCCAGTTCCTTTATGAATCTTGTGAGCGTCTTCGCACAGTGGCAAATGTGGGTGCTGTTCGAGTGACATTGCTTTTACACGGAAATCAGTTTCCAACCCCCAACTATTTTACGGAGAGCAAGCGGCGCGTTTTATTTTATTTTTTCGTCTGATATTAGCGCCGTTTTGTTTAAGGCATCGCCGGACGTTTTGAGGCTTTTTTAACGAGAACTGTTTTTGTTCGCCAGCTTGCTGTTGTTCCGCCCTGGTTTTATTTCGGGGTCGTGACGACGCCAATGCCTGTCATACTCGTTTTAAGTCCAGTCTTCGATTTTGGTTTCGGTCACATCCCTGACTGTCTTCTGATCAAATAGAAGACAAAACAATCGATCGTTCGGCAAAAACTGCCCTTGCCCTTCTGTTGCCCATTGGATTTTTGTTTAGCGTGCACGACAGTGTCGTCTTTTGGTACGTGGCGAAGCAAGTATCGTCTTTATTGTTATTAGAGTCAATTGTTTGTTTTAGAGTCAGTGGTTTTTTTAGCTGTGGTACTACAGTACTTCTTGGTTTCTTCAGTTGCGGGCCGTTTGTCATCCGTGGAAATTCGCCCTTCCTGCCGAGGGAATTTTCTTGATTGTTTGCACAGAACTGCATGCGCGCGGGTAAAACTGCTTGCTGTTGCATTTTTCCTCGATTATCGCAATTAACTTGGCAGAGGAGCTGTCTGCAGCTATTGCTGTTACGCAGTCCGTTTGCAACGGTCGGTAAAATCGAATGCATGTGTTATTGAGGAAGGATACCTTTTTCCCTCCTATTGACTTCGCCGGAGACTTTTGTGACTTGCGATACGTGAAGTAACGATAGCGCAACAGGTGGTATTTTATTCCTCAGCGTGCCCTGGATCGTGGAGGGTGGGAGGGTGGGGCAGTCACTTGTTCTATTTTGACTTTTCGTTACGAGACGCCAATGACGGATTAGCCGTTGAATGTTAAAGCTGTAAATATCGTACAGGAAATAATTGCATGCTGTTTCTCGACGTTCACAGAAGTGTACTTAAAAGGTGAATATCTATTTAAAGTCGATATATTAGTTGACGATCTAACGATCTGCAAATTGCGGTTAATTGTGGCTTTTCCAAGTGCCCTTCGGACGGGTAGAGCGGATGGCAAGCTGCTATGGTTTCCCACGGTTAGGTATGTAGGTATAATATGTAGCTTGTTTTGCTTTAAAGTTTTGTTAGAAAGTTGCTTTTTTATTTGTTATGCCCTTGAGAGTGGTGTATACCTCAAAAGTGCTGTATACTCATGGGACTTCAAAATAAGCGAGTGTGTGTGTGTGTGCGTGCGTGCGTGCGTGCGTGCGTACGTGTGTGTAATACCCTGTCAGTGTGTGTGTGTGTGTGCTTGGCCCTTGTACAGCTTGGCAAGGCAGGATGGACGTTTTTCAAAAACTACACATTGCCTTTGCCTTGCTGGCCTCAACTGTACCGTGCAGCACGAAGACAATATTAAAGTTCGACTGAGTGAGTGTTCACCACCTTTAAATAATTTTGACATGGAGCACAGACACCCCCCCCCCCACACACACACACATACATCGTGTGGAAAGGGGAGGGAGTGTGAGCGAGGAAGAGAGAGAAAGAGAGGGAGGAGGACGAGGGACAGAGTTCGTTCGTTTGAAGCTGTGCTGTGCTGTAAATTTTTTAATAGTGCGATCCGGAGACGGTTCGTGTTTTGTGCAATATGTTCGGACGAGTGGTCATTAAAATTCCAGCGTGTAATTGAGCTGCTAGTGGATATGCAAACTTGTGTGTGGGCGCCAGCAAAATCCCTCCCCCTTCCCTCTCACGCATAAGGATGAAGTGCACCACTGCTCTGTCGTAGGGTATTAAATATTCGATGTTATTCTCTGATAATCTGACGTTAATCACAAGAACGTGCTGTGAATCGATACTACCAATCGTGGCACGAGCGTATGTGAAATTTCGATCGCGAGAGGTCGATACTTTGATTGCATTCGTCCGATTCTGTCTGGCTCAAGGTTATATCTAGTGTAAGTGGATTCGTCGTGGAGCCGAGTCAGGAGTGTATCATATGTCACACAATCTGTTTCGGTAAACATTTGCCCGCAATGTTGAGGTATATAATTATCGTGTTTGTTGATTACATCCATGTTGGGGGGGGAGGGGCGGCGTTGCCAGGCAAGCGTCGAATGATGCACTTGGAAGCCGACGTGGCGCGTTGCCATGGATACGGCGGTGTAGCGTTTTCCATTTTTGCGATGACGTGAGAAATTATGTTCACGAAAATTTGGTTACTAGATGAGCGTAATAATAGATTATGATGATTTATAGACTACAATCATGGTGAAATATTTGTCTCCTGTAGAGTAACTGAAATAAACAAGAGCTATGTATAAAAAGAAAATGTTACTATGTGCTTTTATACATGTAGAAGCTAGTAGTTATTACTAGGGCTCGTTTTTTAGCTCATCTGACATAGTCAGATGCAGCTTGTAGAATCGCATGATCGTCCGTCCGTCCGTCCGTCCGTCCGTCCGTGCGAGCGTCCGTCCATCCGTCCGTCAACAGTTGGGCACAAATCTTAACCGCTCGACGTACGGTCACGATATTCGCGGACTGTGGGGGGGTACATTCGGAAAACGAGGTTGGAGTGATGTTCGAAGCTGGGGGTCAACAGGTCACATAGGTCAAGAGAGTGTATTAAAGAAGGCGGGAACATTCACTCCTTAAGCTTAAGGTATAAGGGAGGGAATGCAGATTTGCCAGGACGCTAATCTATAACCGGCTCGACTCCTAGGTCGTGATAGTCGGGTGTTATAGCATCCATGGGGTAGGAAAGCCATCACTTGGCCTGCCGAAATGAATGTCGACAGTGTCAAGCGTCAATGTGCACAGGGCAGATTTTAGACATTTTTCTGAGGAGAGATGCGTGTGCGGACGGAGTTGACGATGGAACTTTTTGTATTCAGCGGTGACCTAGCATTTTTATGGCTTTATTGAAAGGACCAATGAAATATGCGCTTTCCACTGACATGCGAAGAGTAAAGTGTCGGATAACCTTTTGGACCCTCAAAGAGGAGGGTTTAACATTGATTTGTTGACTGTTAACAAAGACTGTAACTGTTTTTGTATTATCAGAGCCCATACCTGTGTCAATGTGAGGTACAGTTGCACAGTTTAATTGCAAAAGGCAAATGTTTGATTGAACAGGTTTAAAGCCTCCTTAAATCATATGATTTTCTAAAGCGGTGTCTATAGCACCCTGCCCCTGGGCGCCTGAAGGTAATAATGATGAATCAAGTGAATGCTCGCATGAGGCAAAAACACACAGGCAGCCCAATCGCTGGCACGCTTCTAATCATTAATGTTGACCTGCAACCTGCAATTGCACTGTTAACTCACAGGCTGAAGCAACTGCCTGAATTATACTTATGTGGATTTTAGCCTGTACCTACTTAGGATTTCAGGGACGATGCCATCTTTGATTATAGTCTAGTTGCGGGCCGTATTTCCTCTTCAATAGTGAACTCAAGAAATTTTTAATAGTTGCAAGGTTTTGTTATTGATATGTATTCATATCTATGTCTGGAAAATTTTTAGCTTTGTTGGCACAACGCCAACATTTGGGGAACATTTTTAATTAGCTTAATTTGCCATAATTAACATGGCCACTATACAACTTTTTAACTAATAGGCCTAGAATTATGTGTGATAGCTCTTTTTCTATATAGGGTTGACCCAGTGAATCCATTTCTGATGTTAATTTTCGCGATTAAAGAGTCAAGGATCCAACCTATAAAGTCAAGGTCAAGGTCACTTCGGGCTCAAAATTACCCTAATTTCACTTCAACCGTAACTGACTGAAAATTATGTGTTGCTGTGAAGGTGTATTGAGTCCCCGTATTGATTGTTGAATGATAGTAAAGATTATTATCATTGATTGATAAATTAAAATAATGCCTGGACCATACTGGGGGTCAAGGTTACAATATGGGTCAAAATACAACTTTTTAACTAATGGACATTAGAATCATGTGTGATAACACTTTTCTACACAAGTTTGACGCCAAGGAATCCATTTCTGATGTTATTTTTCGCAGTTAAAGGTCACGTTTAATCTAATAAGAGTTAGGTCAGGATCACTTTGGTTCAAATTGACTCAAATTCGCTGAATTTCCAGTAAACCAAAATTGCCACCATAATGATCATTTTCAGGTACAATGTGATAGAGTGTTATCATAAACCACAAGATGAAAGCCACGGGATATCGTTTAGCCAATTTATTCCTCACAATAGCCTATCTGGATCACAGAGTAAGCGCATCATGTCATCCCCAGCGTGCAGAAAGAGGCACGGGAAGTAACGAAATCGAACAACCTCTTCTACGATCTTATAACTTTACCCATGCAACATCATTAGCCAGACCAGCCCTACTCTACTGCGTCTCGTATTAACACTTGTGTCAACATAATGAGGTACTAAGCAGCTCCCTCAGGCCTGGCCCAGTCGATCCAAATTAAGTCACATCACTGGCTTGCCACAACCAGACCACTTTGCGGTCTAGCTGTCAAGATCCATCACATGCACGGAAGCTCAGAATTGATAAAAGAATTGTCGCATCACAGCTATGTAACATCATCTGCCGTTTTCCCGTAAAAGCGTTGCCAGCATTGACTTTGAGCGGACCAACAGTGTGCGCGTATACATCAGGCTATGGGGCTGCGAAAAAGGGGGGGGGGTCATATCTGGATGTCATATTTGGCATGGATGGGAGAGCCATCGACTTACACATCGTAACCCCCATGGACGGCAGGACACACACGCCATGGCACACGTAATTCCAGCAATCTCATCCATGTGGTATCATAATGAGGGATGATGCGTGGCCAAGCATATAACACACTGATAATACCCCGTCTTTGAAAAGCTGCAGCTTCACCCTCGACTCCTGAAGCAGGTGATGCCGGATTGGCTCTATTGCACGACACTGGTGAGAAACAGGAGCACCCACCTGCTCTCCCACTTGGTGTCCTAGCGCGGCCAAGTTTAAAGAAGTCATTCATACCCAGGAAAGCCTGCATCGTGCCCAGAAGAAGGCATGAGCAGTGGTTTGTTGACGTGTTGAGTAAAGAGGGTGCCACTGAATGCGGACCTGATGGCAGTTGGGAGCAATCTTTGCTGCATTGTATGCGACAACCTGCAGGACACTCCATGACTCATGCTCACTACAATCTATACACCCGTAAACGTGGGAACCACTGCCCGATCATGTCACTGCCGCCAACAGACAGAAATCGTCTACCACCATGTGCGTCGGTGCGCCACCTTTTGAGAAGGCTGGCGAACATTAGGGTCCTCCAGATGTTTCCATCTCAGTACCCTAGGATGGGGATACCTTGTCCTTGCATTGATAGTGGCCACACTGCGGACCACCGCTTCTGATGAATGTGATCGCTGATGCTGTCGAGGCAATGGGGGTGCATGCCAAAGAAGCTAAATGTAGCCTGTCACGTGAAAACTCAGCTGGCACAAACTACTGCCTTGCACAGTCGGTGATGCGTGCTGCAACAAGAAAGAAAGAGGCGGATGATCAGGATGACAAGTCATTGAGCGCGATTATGAAAGATCGGAGCAAGAAGACGATGAGCTGGAGGGTTTGATTTTCCGAACACAAGAACTCACAGAACATCTGAGTTCAAATCACGCACAAAATTTATGTGTGCAATAGTCATGTTTCTTGATGTTTAAATATCTATTAGTCATTTGATTTCGTCCTAAATATATTTAATTGCATAATTTGTTCACAAATGTTGGTTGCTTTACTGACTGTTGTAGGGACGCTGACGTGTACGTTGACTACGCTCTACACTGTCATGTTTATAAAGCAGTAAAAGTATAGGGTGGAGTATATTTCACTTAAAAATATGTGTTTAAAATGAATAAATAAACAATAATTATTGTGAATGTTATAAATCTTGATAAATTTTCAGTGATTTTTACCTTGACCTCTAATGACAAGACCGTGATCCCATATGCGCCCATACAGATTATTAGAATTTATCAAAAATAATAATAACTACTTTGCCAAACATTACCATCATCCACAATTAATATTGCGACAGTTCCGATGGTGGCAATTTTGCCTTTGAAGAAATTCAGAGAATTTTGTCAATTTTGACCAAAGTGATCCTGACCTTGACCTTATAAGTTAAACTGACCTTTAACTGCGAAAATACAATCAGAAATGGATTCCTTGAGTCAAACCTGTGTTAAGAAAAGTGTTATCACAAACATGATTCTAGGTTCCATTAGTTAAAAAGTTGTATTTTGACCCCATATTGTAACCTTGACCCCATATGGTCAGGCCATTATTTTAATTTATCAAAATAATAATAATCATTACTATCATCAACAATCAATACGGCGGACTCAATATAGCTTCACAGCAACACATTAATTTTCAGTCATTACCGTTTGTAAGTGAATTAGTGTTAATTTGAGCCGACAGTGGACCTTGACCTTGACTTTATAGGTTGATCCTGACCTTTAATCCGCGAAATTACATCAGAAATGCGATTCACTGCGGCAAACCCTATATAGAAAGAGCTATCACACATGATTCTAAGCCTATTTAGTTAAAAAGTTGTATTTGGCCATGTTAATTATGCAAATTAGCTAATTAAAATGTTCCCAAAGTTGGCGTTGTGCCAACAAAGCTAAAAATCTTCCAGACATGGATATGAATACATATCAATAAAAAAAACCTTGAACTATTAAAATTTCTTGGTTCGCTATTCTGCAACTGGACTATTATTGATCAAGGAGCTACATATAACAAGGAGAAGAAGCAGATCTGGCTGTGCTGCTTTCGCCTCAAGGACGCCATCTTATGGACCATAATCAGCTGAAACGGCTGTGCAGATCCGTCCCCAGAGACAATAGAACACTAATCTGTTCTGGACCAAGTATGAACCAATATATGGCAAATATTTGGGCCAGAATATGCGCGGCGCTTCCTCTCCTTGTTTAAACTTATATGTAGCTCTGTTTATTGTATTACACTTGCACGCGGCCATCTCGCGGCACCATATAGGCCTAGTTTAAATTAGATTTTATTCTCATGGTAACTTTGTTAAACGAATAAAATAATAACTAGTACCATTATAATATATAATATTTACTTTTCATCTTGAATCTTAACATATATCATGTAGCCTATGGCCGTGCGTATCCATTTACCAGTTGTGCGACATTAAGCTGTTACCATAGAAATATTAGAGACATATATATTATTGATTTCTATGACTGTTACACTCAGGGCATTAGGAAGAAAGCATTATTGAGGGCAGTAAAAGCATCATTGCTGGGTTTTAATTTTTTTTTATATAATTAAGAGAGAGAGAGAAGGTCTAAGATAAAGAGAGAGAGAGAGTGTAAATTGAGACTGGGGACAGGAAAACGGTGATACGGTGTGTATCGCGAGCGGGAAACGGGTACAATTAGGTCGTGCGACGGGGATGGGAGGTGGGGGCAGCGGGGAGGGAGGTCGAAGGCAGGGGAGCGGAGATGGGAGGTAAGGGGGTGGAAGTGAGAGCAAGGGGAGTGAAGTGGGAGGCAGGGGGAGGGAGGTGGGGAGAAGGACTCCCCGCCCCCTCTAATTATACTTGGAGATCCTATGCTCATATGTTGAAATCTTTCATAGCATAGATAAAAATAGATAGCTGTGAATCTATGACACAAATTCGAAGTGAAAGGCAAGTATCATTTAATAAAATAAACCAAAATCGGGGGGAGATAGTGAGCGTGTCCTAACAATGATGTGTACGCAACTGCGTATCTGCATATCTGCGCCTAACAAATGTGTCACTACGCACAACTGAAATTGTACGTTCATAACCGTAGCAACAGACCCCAGATGAGCCCAGACGCTCTGCGGCTCTTGTCTTACTTTTACGTTCAAACGTTCAAACGTTTAAACGTTTTACGTTTTAACGTTTTGTTAGTTTTTAATGTCAATTCGGTGTTTCAATGCTGTATTCCTTCTACGCTGTTTAACATAGATATATACAAACACAATGACATTAGGAATTACAATATTAAGTGAAAAAAAATACAAAGTAAAATAATATCCTCCACTGAGATTTGTACATGTCCAGAGGTTGATTCCTGCTAATAATAATAAGGGAAAATTGCTTTAATTTGCACTTTTTTAAATTTAATATCGTAATTACTAATATATTACAAATCATCCTAATTTTATGCTGTTACTTAGATAGCTCGAAATGACATTAGAAACATTATTAATTAATATATTAAATGAAAAAAATATAAAACGTAAAATAATATATCCCCCACTGAGATTTGAACCTGTGCTAACCATTATATCCAATCTCGTATCTATCTATCTATCCATTATAACCAATATCGTAATTACTAATATTACTAACATCCTAATTTTATTCTGTTACTTAGATAGCTCGAAATGACATTAGGAACATTATAATATATAACATATATTATACGCGAAAATTCTTTTTGCGCGTAAAGTAAGTCGGTGTTTCACAAATGGGGCTATAGGTGGAGCCACCTACTCCCGTGTTTTTGGTAATGGAGGTAAAGTGTGTCAACAAATCGAAGAAGAGCTCAAAGAAAAGTTCGAAACATAAACCTAAACTAGATAAACAGCAAAAAGAACTCGTGAATAAGCTGAAGCACGTAGATGTGTTGTAAGTTTGCCTAATATTGTTTAGATTAAATTCAGCCGGCAAGTACTAGTGTCGTGAGTAGTGTCCCAAACTAGGAGTAGGATTGTGTCTAATCAATGACAGAGTGTAGTCCAAAATGTGTGCGATGACATTGCAGAGTAAACGCGAGAAGACTCAGTGCCTCACCTATATGTCATTTATGTTATGTACATGCACACCAATTCATGAGGACGGTGAAGAGCTCATGGCATGATGTTGAATGATAATGATATATCATTGTCAACATGCAATACCGATGTACCATCATTAACATTTCAATAATTAACTGATGACAATCTGTTACACTTACAGCTACGAGGCACCACCTCCGGGACTTGTGAAGGTAACAGCTACTGCACATTATCTCTCTCTGTAATCTCCACGCTGTGAACTGTGTGTGACCATTCTGCATGAACTTCAGCGCTGGCATTTCTTTGAAATTTAACCTCGTAACCTCGTAAATAATAGCCTTCAAAGTCCAAGCGACTAGATCTAAGACCGTTAGACGGAAAGAGACAAGTTGGTGAAATAGACAGATCAACACTGCAGAACGCAGTAGAAAAAGTTTCAAATTTGCAATTTACTAAAGAGGAAGGGAGAGAATTCCAATACGGAATGACAGAAACAAAGAAGCTCAACTTAACGTTAAAGGGATCTTTAGAAGATGGCACATGGCTAAAGCAATGTCATTATTCTGTACATATTGCATTATCCGTAGAGGCTCATATGACTTATCTTGATCCATTACAGCAAGTAGACGAAAAACCGGAGGATTGCATTCCGGATCTTCCAGAAAACCAAGATGCAAGAGACTTCCTTGCTAAGGCTCCTAGCAAAGGACTATGGATGCCCTTGGGGAAAGAGGTCAAGGTTATGAAATGTAAGTTTGTAGATGTGTGCTGCTAATTAAGAGCCTCAACCAGTTATAGCTAGCAGCTTTTCTTGGAAGAATGTAGATACTTGGGTAGTACTTACTAAAAATAATTGTTTGTTAATATTATCGCTTATTATGCTATTAGGCCACCCTTAAAAATTTTTTTGTTTCCCCTTTACCTACTTGCCTCTCAGGGTACCGAGTAGGTAGGTAGGTGAAAAATCTTTTTTATTTTGTTTTGACAAGATGTGTGTATCAAGATATCAAATATCAAATATACAAGATATCAAGATATGCAGATTGTATATTCTGATTTGATTTTTTTTTTGGCGAAACGAAATAATTTTTGTTTTGTTTTAATCAGCCAATAAAATGTGTCGAGTAGTGGCGTTTTGGCGAGTCGGTCGGTAAAGGGGAAACAAGCAATATTTTATCTTAGGCCTTATGTGGGCTGGTGCTATCGGTGAAAATTCTCTCTGGTGCATATAAAATTATAAGCTGAATGTCATTCTAATTGTTGTCACAATTCTGGCATATCTGAGTGTGAAGCTAAAACTGAAATCTCAGCAAAACATTTACAGTAATATAAAAAAAAATATGCTATCTCAAGGTGCAGAAAACTACATCTACATACAGTCACGCCTCTATATAACTTATAAGTAGTATTCAAGGAAAATGTTAAAAGTGATCTTCGTAGATACGTGCCCTTTCTATAAAGGTGGTTTCACTGTGTTACTGGAATTACGGCAAAAGGCCAAAAGTGTATTTCATGGACAGTTATCTCTTAGGTGATCCCTAGCACAGGTTGTAGTGTGTGTTGCTTTGATTGCAGGTTGGAGGTGCAAAAGATATGGCCATCGAACGGGTGACAAAGAATGCCCCATGTTCATCAGTGGAAATGAGCAGACAGAGTCCTTCAGAGCTGTACGTCACTACCCGAAATTTCACATTAACGTTACCGAGCTCTCTGTCGAAAATCTTGAATGAATTCTTACGCTTTCCAACAGGCTAACAAATGTTTCAGAGAGATATTTTGTGCTTCTGAAATGTGCTACATAGATGCTGTATTAATTTTAATGAGAGTTGACTGTAACGTTGAGCATTTGCTACAAATATATATGTATATATATATATATATATATATATATATATATATATAATATATATACTCTTTAAAATATACAGTTTGCAGTCTGTGCATGTCTAGCACGACTAATCTGTTTGTTCGCACTCGCGTTGCATTGAATTCAGGTACATGAGGATCCCATGTACGAATATGTACAGGAGAGCAAGCGACTGAGAAAAGAAGACAGGTATGTACTAATAAGCATGGAACTGCTATTGACTTCTGCTGTTGTACAGTAAGTGCTTCAGTGTCTACCAACTCGCTCGTATGTGATTTCTGGCAGGCAGATGGATAGACGCACGTGTTTAAGTAATGGGTGTTTATCATTAAACAGTCTGTAATTGGCAATTCACGAACAGGTTGAATGATATCGTTAAGTGATTACGTCACCGTAAATAGTAAAAAAATAATAATAATATTTCCACTTTTTCACAAAATATAAGTAATTCTGTTTACTTTTTATGGTTAAATTGCTGCATTATACTTCTTATTTTACTATATTGTTTGATGTGAACATACACTCGTGACTCATACATAGCCCATAGCAAGCAATTAATGTTAGGAACACTAATATAAAATCGTCCAGGTTTTTTGGATTTTTAACTAGTTGAGAAACAATCTCATCAGGTAAGAATTTGACGATACGTTTAGTCCCGTTAGTTCTTACTTTTAATGTAAAAAAATGGCAAGAAAAATTGTGCAAATTTTACCATATAGAAAATTCGTGACAATACAAATTTCGCAGAATAAAGCGTCTGCAGTCCCTGCTCGAGGAATCGGACAGCAGTGAGGGTGACGGCGGCGGCGACGCGGGCAAACGGAAGAAGGGGAAACGACGTCACAGCTCTAGCAGCGGCAGCAGCAGCAGCAGCAGCAGCGAACCGTGTTCTCGCCACAGGAAGAAAAAATCCTCGCGAAAGAAGCATCGTTCTTCGAAGAAGCACAAGCGGAGCAGCAAGCAGCGCAAGTAGGGACGTCGCCCGTATCTCGCTCCGGGTTTTTCCCCCGGGAGCCACCTTCGTTCTCTTTACCGTCCACCAGGTGGCGCCACCGAACTAAAACTTGCAGACGAAAACCGACTCGGTGAAGGCTTGAGGGAACGTTATCGGTACGACGAAATCGCGAGCATTGACCCTTGACCCGAGATCATCCGCGACCTCACGTTGATCCTCACGTTGAGCGGACGACCATCTTTGTTACCGGTCGCCATGACGCCCGGACTGTTCTACGCCGTCGTCTCCGGGATGCTGGCCGCGATGGCGTCCGCGAGCGGCAAGATGGCCGCCGCGTCGTCAGACGCGCGATGGCTGTGCGGGGCCGTCGTCACGCCCGCCGCGCTCGACTGCGACAGCGTAAGCATTGTCCGCCGCTGCCGTCGTCGCGACAATTTTATTTTATTTTTTGTGTTTTTGATTCTCTACATGCTTCTCGGGGTCGTCGTCACCGGTGCGATGCTTTTCGCACAGTTGTTTGAAAGTGTCGCGTCAGTGCGAATGACGGCGTTTCGCACGAATCGCTGACCTGGTAAAAATAAGTTTTAAATGCCGGTGCAGTGCATTATTCGCCTGCCGTCTACACTGTACACTATAATCATTTCCTAAGTGCAAAAAGGATGAAGTCCACGCGTGATTGGATCGTTTTTGACGTTGTGTGCGCCGTCGTGTAACTTGTTTTTGCCGAGTAGTGGCATAGGCGTATCCTTGTACATCTTAATCGAGACGGTGAAAATACAAGCTTTTTTGTAAAAGCAAATTATATTTATATCTTTTATGATATAGCAGTAATGTAATTATTTAATTGGTATTTTTCAACAAGTTCAATGTAATATTTTCCTAAATACATCTTGAGTTCATTTTCTTGAACGTATAGACTTCTATAATTGTCCTCGATGTCATGTTTTTTCTTCGTTACAGATTCTTCTGTATGTGCGTGGATCGTGCTTCTTGCTGGTGTTTCTCTTGAATGCAGTCATGTGGACAGTCTTTACTAAGGCTTTAAGACTGTCACCGACAACGCTCTCAGCCACGATCACAAACTTGGCGTCGAACCTATTTTTCACGGTAGGTTTTCCTGTACGTGGGCTTACCGTCATTGTATCAGGAGTGAATAATAGAGATCTAGTGCATCCTATATCTAGTGCATCCTATATCTAGTGCATCCTATATCTAGTGCATCCTATATCTAGTGCATCCTGTTTTACATGCAGTACGTCCCTCCCTGCCTCCCCTGTACTTTCCTCCTTTCCTCCCTCATCCTCCCTCTCTGTTTCCCTCCCTCACTGTCTCTGTGGTTGAACCCCCCTCACCTGTGGTTGAAACTTCCCTCACCACCTTTTCTTGCTCGTGTACTCTGTGTGTGTCTCTCTCTCTCTCCTCTCTCTCTCTCTCTCTCTCTCTCTCTCT